AGAAACACTATAGTACATTGTCCTATCTGTTTAACAGGGATCTATCTTGGATGAGCTGCTGGTCCCATTTGTGGAAATAGCTGTTGTAGGAATTTCAGCGAGAGGATATGGGAGATAAAACAGCTGCACGTATGGGACCAATCCCCCAGTTCGTTAGGTGCCACAATGGTAAGTAAGGCAAACATTTAGACATCCCCCTAAGACAATCAACGTAAGCATGACCAGGACTCGCACAAATTCAAGACACATCCAAAGACTCACCATCTCCGCAAAATCCGCTGCCGACTCTTTCAACACATCCCACACCAGGTCTGTCCACATGACGTCTTGTTCAGTAACTCTTCTCCTAACGTTCATGACCTTCAGCTCCCCAACAGCCACAGGCCCCATGTTTGAGAGCCCAAGCCTGAAACCATCCCGGGTGTTGGAGACGGGTTCCTCGTCGAAGAGCCCGAATGGGCATTACTATCTCCGTGTTCGTCTTCGTCGTCGTGTTCCCCATTGCAACGCTCGCCGCTCGCGAGATGGGTATCGGGTGGTCCTTCACAAAACTGCAGGATGCGCTTCGACGCCGGACTGAGGCTTGGTTGGCCCTTGCGGATTTCCGGGCTGACATGAGAACGGGAGCGACTGGTTGGGGCTAGGGATACCCCGCGTGCACGCGAAGCGAGGCGAGGGTGAGAAACTGGATGATGCGTACAGGTTTTTAAACACTGGTATAGAGCGGGGATCGGTGATGAAGGATGATGTGCGGCTTGTAGGAAGTGAGGACTCCATTAATGACGATGATATTCCACCCGTTTCTTCGAATTGGATACGTCCCCGTCCGTCACCTACCAAACTGGCCTTTCCTCCACTCTCACTACCATAGACGTTATGTTCGTCTCGCTATCGCTTCCACTCTCGCTATCCGAGTCATCCAGCTGGCCGCTAGTGTAGGCAGAGCCACGGACATCCGCTTGAAGTCGGGTCTCGCAGGGGCCGATCGAGTGTTCACAGCCGTCAATAGTCGCGGTCAGAGAATGGAGGAGCCTCTCGCTACACGTGGGCACCAAGTTCAGTAACAGAGTCAGGCTGAATGTAAAAAAAACAAGACGTCATGTACCTGAATATGTTCCAGGACCCTTGCTTGATGCACCCGTGCCAGAGATAGACGCGTCATACATGGACTCGCGTGGCCCAGATGGAAGAGGGATTTGGTTAGCCCGAGGAGAAGGTGAGGGGGTTAGACGTGGTGATGAAGAGTGGGAATGGGAGGATAGTTGCACACGGGCAGAACGATTGCTAGTATGTGCGCTCGACTGGAGGGTACATTGCAGATGATCGTGCCTGACGTCATGGTCAAGGAGATGGAGGGTCCCCACAGCGGTAGTTTCCTCTTTGCGCTGTTTTAGACAGTCTCCAGTGTCTTCGTATCTCGCTATTATGTATGTCCCAATTGAATCTGAGCGCAGAGACATAGATACCCGCCAGTTTTGTTAAGCACGTGCAGTAGACTACGACCGCGGTTTGCAGGGCGACTTTCCTTCCTAGGCGGCGTATTCGTCCATGGTGTTTCCAACCCATCCATATTCTTCCAACACCGAGATGCAACATGAGTGGGATACGAATACTGTTCCCGTGAAGAGAGTGGCGATCATACATAACAGGGACTGAGAAGCACTTGTGAGATGTGCAGAATATGGGAAACTATCGGGACGGTTCTCAAGGACGGCCAACAGAATTGAGGTGTAGGATGACAAATAAGACTGGAACTGGGGAAGAAAATCGCAGGCTCAAATGCAGAACGTGGCAACGGTGGGGTCATGGTTGAGTATGGGTCAGGATGTGGATGGTAGCACTCGCGCCTGGGTAGCTCAATTGGTAAAGCGTCAGACTCTTACAGTCTCTCTGACCGGGTAAGAGTCTTAAGGTTGCGGGGTCTATTCCCGTCTGAGGCAATACTTTTATCCGATTAAATCACAGACTCCTTCCTACATATATCTCTTTTTCCAAGCGCATGTCATATTTTTAAGAATCATGGAACTAGCCATTAAGTCCCAAAATGCATATGCAGAACTATGTAGAAGTTCAAACTTTGCATCCCAAGATATATTAACTTAGCCTGATGACTTTGTCCTTTTGTCACTGTACATACTACTACAACAGTAAGATGTCGTCCGACAAATAAGTCTAGAATGGGGGACAGATAATAGATTCAAAGGCAGAACGTAACACCTGGTGGTGTCACGGTTCAATATATATTACAATGTGGATGTGATAAGTCATGCCTTGGTAGCTCAGTTGGTAGAGCGTCAGACTCTTACAGTCCCTCTGACCGGGTAAGTGTCTTAAGGTTACGGGTTCGATTCCCGTCCGAGGCAATGTTTTTCTCCCATTAAATCACGGATTACTTCCTACATATACTTCTTTTTTCCATGCGCATGAAAATCCTTTGATTATGGAAATAGCCATTAAGTACCAAACTTGCATATTCAGGCCATAGTCTGAAAGGAAGGCTGATTGCATAATCACATGTGATATCTATCATGATGTAAGACTAGTATCTGCTGCAGGTGCAGACAGACACTAGAATGAGTGATGGGGAATAAACCACTACTGTATTGAAATCCACATGTACATAATATATACTAATGGAGAACAATAGGATGTAAGCACAATAGGATGTGGACTACAATAGGATGTGGACTACAATAGGATGTGGAATACAATAAGTAGGTAATAATGGAGACTCAATATTACCAAATCACAGTGTAGGGAGTCTCACTCCCTTACAATGATGGATGGGGAGGCCAATGTTTCGCATCCGAGTACTTCTGCGGACAATAGGATCTGGGGTATCAGAACAACTCCATCATTTGAGGATTCGATGTGCATTCTAGGGGGGGGTCACAACACTGCGATAATACTTTGGTGTGCAGCAGAATATTACATATCCTCAACAAGAGTCACGCTAGCGACAGCCGTGCTTGCTGAATTCCATAACAATATATGACTGTGTAGCTACAATTCTACCTGAATCCTATCATTATTATTCTTTTGATTTCTGGAGATTTTACAGTAACTAGTACATTGCTTACCTTCGGCGGGAAAGGAACAAATGAAGATTAGCGTTCTCCCACACAGGCGGAAGCGAAGAAATAAGGCTGTCAATCTGCAGAGCCAGTATGAGGCCTCGGTTAACACGAGGAGGGACCACTTTTATTCAAAAGTTTCAAAGTGATATACATAGTGGTGTCCAAATTGCACCTGGTATCCTTGTTTTAGCTCTCATTTTTTAGCCGAGTTCATAGACTTCGCTACAGTTCCTGCGTGACGTTCGGCAAGCAAAGGAATCTATTGCTTCGCTACCCCTCTTTCATACAACTGCCAGAGGATCACGCCGTGCTCAAGCCAAAGAACGAATGAGCCAGAGTTCCAGCGGACTGAGAGGTTGAGTGCTGGGGACAGTCCAAAGCAATGCAGCAAGGTTGAGGACCCGTGAATTGGAGGAGTTAATGTAGAATAGGGAAGCCACAGTGCCAGCACCCCATGAGGTCAATTTTCGGGAATGCAGGAGTGGGATGTGGCCATGGGACCTTGAAGTCAGAATGTTGCTGTACATGTAAACCAGGAACGGGGACCCAGGGACCGGAGTGTGAGGAGCAGGGGCTCAACGCTAAGTATAGTAAGGATGACTTTCAGCGCACAGCCAGAGCCTGTTATGAGATGAATTAGTTAGTCTAGCTTTGGAGGAACAGTGGTTCGACGCGAAGTGTAGTAGAGATAATTGCATTGGTCAATCAAAGGCTGTCAAGTGTCAAGTCATTATTATGTCCAGCGTTCGGGTTTCAGGAGCAGCGGCTTGATGCTCATCGTAGCAGTGATGGGTTTAAGCGGGCAATCGAAGACTGTCAAGGTACAATTGTGTCCAGCGTGGCGTTGGAGGAACAGTGACTCGGTGCTAATCGTACTAGTAGCAATGAATTTGAGTCGACTACTGAAGACTGTGAAAGGACAAAGCAGTGTGTCTAGGATCGTGTTTGAGGAGAAGCAGCTCGGAGTCATGAATTTCAGCGAGCGAGTACTCGATAGGCATGGGATACACAATTGGATGGAGGGGCCGAGCCCAAGATATAGTGATATCACGTGCAAGTTAGATGAGACTGTTGGTGATTGGGGCGATAAATTGATAGAATCTGTATTACATGATGTGGTTATTGCTATTGATTTTGAAGATGCAATCGATGGCATGACCAAAGAAACAAATGGGTATGGGGATAGGACAGCATGCACACACGGTATGTTGCGATCTGGGATAGACGGTCTCTTCAGGCGAGGTTGGCGCGGAAGGGCATCGTGCGCCAGACATGAGAGTCTGCGTAGATGGCGTTTGATATTTCCTGCACGATTTCCTATGCGTTTTCAGGGAACTTGGGCCTGCCTGAAAGGGAACGTGTTCACTGTCGGTAGCCAGGATGGGAGAAGGTTGGCGGGTATGTGAGATAGCAATGCGAAAAATGAACTAACTCGAAGGCTTTGAAGACTAGAGGGCGAATTGAGACAGGACGAGATGAAGGGAAAGGGCGGAGTGAGAAGTGACACATCACGACATCAAAAGGGGAACGCAAAGTGGCTTTGTCTTGTCATGTCACGTGCCTCCATCTGAGAACCTGGACAAATAAATTCGTCCAAACTAAGTTCCATGGTTAAAAATATTTCACCTGGCCGGAAAAAGATATATATCTGATTCACTAGGAACTCTTGGTCGGAAGGACCTGTTTGTTAACTTTTCGGCGAAAATATAACCAGACCTATAAAGGACGAGCGCAATATTGTCTGAGTGATATTGTTGGTTATAAACGCACAGGGGGTTTTATGCGTAATTACGGGTATATATACTAACAACGAGAGCGGTAATGAATGTGGGTATTGATGACCCCGGTCACTATACGACTCCGACTCCTCGCTTTATTCCAAAAATCTAACAGGACCCCCGTGATTTAAAAAAATAAAAGTGTAGCCTCACGCAGGAATTGAATCCGCAAACCTCAAGACTCTTACCCGGTCAGAGGGGCTGTAAGTGTCTTATACTCTACCAATTGAGCTACCAAGGCATGATTGATGAGATCCACATCGTAACACATGTTGTACCACGACACCACCGTTGTTACGTTCTACCTTTGAATCTGCTATCTTTTCCCCCATCCCAGACTTATTTGTCATACTACACCTTAACTTTGATGTACTAGTATTTACAGTGAGAAAGGGATAAAGTCATAAGGTTAAGGCAATATATCTTGGGATGCGAACTTTTAACTTCTATATAGTTCTGCATATGCATGTTTGGTAATGGCTTGTTCCATAATTCTTAAAAATATCTCATGCAGATGTATATCAGGACATGGTGGACGCGAGCGAAGAGTGTTAGTATTACTAAGCGGCTATACAGTAGTTACTTATCTATTTACAAAAGAATGCAAGATTACTAATTATATATATCATATTTCAACACAATCCCTTAATCGAAGCATTTTAACAAAGGCTCCCTAAGTGCGAATTATCATATCTGTGCAATATACACCCATTGCACACTCTGAGGTATTGCCAATTTCAATGTTGTCATTACAATCAGCAACATTGGCATTGGCATTGGCGGAAGTCTTAGGGCTCAGACAGTCAACCTAGTAATGACCATGTCCCCCACAGTTGAAGCACGAAATGTTCAGTGGGTGCTTAATTGTACATATGGTGGTGGGCAGCAGAAAAGGCTCAAGTTTCTGCACTGTTATTAACAATGGATAAATTACAAGGGCCAAGCTGGCACGATTCTTCATTGAGTAAGTGATTGATGACATATTTGAGGGTGAGTTGTTCAGGTGGAATGGAATCCAAGCTGACAATGAACTTGTCATTTGATTAATCAAGGCCATTGGTGAGCACCAGAATTGTTTCTTCATCTTCATGGGTTTTGAGCCAACAATGAGGGTGGTATCCATGTGAATTGATGGAGGGCTGGTTGCATGGCTGAGGCACTGTGAGGTATGTTTCACAGTGGCAATCCATAGCTACATGCTTTGTGAGTCATCTTTCTTCATGGTCAGAAAGTGGCAGTGAAGAGCAAGACAAGATGCAAATCCATGGGTGACATGCACTTGGCACAGGTTTTCCCAAGAGATGACGGGATCATTTTCATGGAGGTGAGGGATTTGCTCTGATTCAATACCAAGAGTAAGTTCTGATTGCATGAGTTGCTGTTTTTTATTGAATGTGCAGACCAATTTTGAGGAGGATGAGCCGAGTGGTCGAGTTTCCAAACCATCAATAAGATCCCAGACATCCTTGTGGGTGAGAGGTGCTTTTATATAAACACACCACAGACTATAATTTTTTTTCCCCTAGTTTTGAAAGTAATTCTCATTCCCCATTTTTGGATAAGTGTGCAATTCTGATATAGATTAGTGAGAAAAATGAAGATAAGGTGTGCAGTGCCAATTTAGATGTACTGCCCCAGAATCCTTTCTGTGCATGTACTGTGACTTCTAAGTCCTTTTATATGGTCACCTTCAATATACTGCCCCGGAGTCATTCCTATGCAGGTATTATGGCTTCTAGGCTCTTCTATATGGCCACCTAAAAAGAATATGATGAGTAACTACTGGAAGGAATGAAAATGCATGGTGATGAATCTGAGAGATAACTCTGTGGAGCCTATAACCTGTAAAAATATGGTGCAGATGTATATCGGGACATGGTGGACACGAGCAAAGAGTGTTAGTATTACTAAGCAGGTATACAGTAGTTACTTATCTATTTACAAAGATTGCAAGATTACTAATTATATATACAGTGACTCTCAAAACCTTTTCAATATTTGACATTTGCATATTGGCAGGCTAATACCAGGGGAGATAAAATAGCAAATAATCTCAAACAAATACAGTATATAGCTAAACATGTGTAGAATCAGTGTCTAAAATATTATTATGTAATATCCATTTTTAGGTATGCTAAAAATAACTTATTCAGGCCTGCTCATTGAAAAGGTTTTGATGCTGATGATTATGATGCAATATATGGTATATTATCTGGCCAAATCACATGATTTTGTTGATTGTATTCAACATGGTCATGTGACTTGTTGATTTATACTCAATTCTGACATTCCTAGCTCTTTTTATTACCAGCAATCCATCATGCACTCCATCACACCTGATCACCAACAATACATTATCTCCCATGCCATACATTGCCTCCATAACTGGTATTAGCATTAGTACTATCTTGTGAAGGGTGCGTACATGGAGGGTTTCCAGAGAAAACCACAGGAAATCTGGTAGGACTTGGCTTCAGCTTATAGGCTGCACCCTCACGAGATTGTGTTGTCCAATTTCAAACAAGCGGATGGGAATCCCAGGGAGTCCGGGCGGGTTTTGTGGGTCAAGAGGTCAGAGGTTGAGTGATAGATGCATCGGAGCCCGTGGGCTCCGACTAGTAAGAGCGGTGTGATTCAAAGAGGAATTTAGAGCAGAAAATATACTAAGATTACTGGGGAGAATATAAGCTTATTTTCTGACTGGATTGTATATACAACATCTGCCAGACTATATAGACTGTGGAATGAATAACATACCAAATCCAGTAATAATGAAAATGAAACTAACAAGCATAAAACGAGATAAGTAAACACCAAACTTGGTATTAGGAACGGGACAGAACAGAGTGGAGTCTGAATCGTGACAGGTCATAAAACCATAATGGGAAGGGAGCGGGAGCGGAGTCTGAATCGTGACAGGTCATTTGACTATAACAGGAACAGGGCTCAGTTAGAGGGATGTCGGGTTTTCTGAGCAGGGTCGGACATAGCCAGTGATGGAGTCCAGCGGGTATTCTGGGGACTGATACATGAAGTAATGAAGTCAAATGTGGACAAGTCTGACATATGGAGTCTGGTGGGAATTCTGGTAAACTGACAATTGGTGTGTATAGGGTGCGGGTGAATATAAGTTAGTGCCCAGAGTCCAGCGGGAATTCCAGTCGTAACATATCTCCAGACTTCACTCTAAATACCTTCCTACCCTCCCAAAATCAACTGGAGGTCATCCCAAGAAGCTCTCTCCCACCAACATCTATCATGCAGTCCACTTGAGCACCTCTGGAAAGGCTGAAACTGCAGTTGACATAGCCAAAACACTTCAGACCATCACCAACAACTCTATCTCAGCTCATACAGTTTGGAGGAGCTTGAAGAGTGCAGGGATGAAAGCAGTTGTGAAGAAGAAGCCACATTTGTCCAAGAGACACATGAAGGAGAGGCTTGACTTTGCTTTGGCCCACCAGTATTGGACTTTAGATGACTGGAGGAGAGTTACATATATGGTCTGATGAGACTAAAATAAATCGTCTTGGATCAGATGGGAGGAAGTGGGATGGAAAAAGACTGGAATGAGAGGCTAGTTCAAGGAACAGTGAAGTTTGGTGGAGGATCTGTCATGGTTTTGTTAGAATGAAGAAGGGAGGTGGATGTGAAACACAAGAAGTGTGAGAGCTCAGACACAGACACAGACACAGACACAAATGAGCAAATGCAAATTTCACTAGTGTGCACTATGGACCCACAATGGTACACAACTTATAGCTACTGTGCTGAGTCACTAAATCTAACAGGTTTGGGGGTGATTCATGTGGGAGGGTGTGGGATATGCCACCAGGATTGAGGTACAATGGATGGGGAACTTTACGGGAGTATCTTGGATGAAGATCTCCAAAACAGCATCAGGTATTACCAGTTGGACCCTGCTAAAATCATCTTTCAGCAGGATAATGATCCAAGACATCCCTGAAAAAAGGCAAAGGAATGGTTTGAGAATAATGGAATGACTGTCCTACCATGGCCTGCCCAATCTCCAGACCTCAATCCAATTGAGCATCTATGGGATTACTTGAAGAGAAAGCTGGGACAGTATGCCACTGTACCAAGTGGGATTCTGGAGTTGTGGAAGAGGATAGAGAGGGAGTGGGAAGATATACCAGCTTCTGAGTGTTAGAAGTTAATTGAAAGCATGCCAAGAAGGATTGAGGCAGTCATAAAGGCCAAGGGAGGGTATACCAAGTATTAAAATATAGCATATATTGCATCATAATCATCAGCATCAAAACCATTTCAATGAGTAGGCCTGAATAAACTATTTTTAGCATACCCAAAAATGTATATTACATAATAATATTCTAGACACTGATTCTAGATATGTTTAGCTATACACTGTATTTTTGTGAGATATTTTGCTACTTTTTCTCCCCTGGTAGTGGCCTGCCAACATGCAAATGTCAAAGATTGAAAAGGTTTTGAGAGTCACTGTATCATATTTCAACAGATTTAACTGGATAAAAGTATAGCCTTAGACAGGAATTGAACCTGCAACCTTAAGACTCTTACCCAGTCAGAGGGACTGTAAGAGTCTTACACTCTACCAAATGAGCTACCAAGGCACAGGTGATAAGGTCCACATGGTAATACATGCAGAACCACAGCACCACCATTGTTATGTTCATCAGGATAACCCCCCTCTCTAAAATAAATTCAGGATCCTTAGTAGAGCCTTATTTTAATAACCTCAGGTACCCTGAAACCAACCTAGCACCATGGATGAACCCTATGTGGAAGAAGTTCTAGAAAACCTGGAAGGTTTGGAAAATGGAGATGAGTCCATGGGCTCTGACAGCAGCAAGAATGCCCCTGATCCAGCCACTATACCCCATCTGCATTTCATGTACCCCACTACTGACATGGTAGCAAGGACCTTGAATAAATTTATGGATGCAATGATTGAAGAAAGAAAGAACAAACATCAAGAACCTGTGCAATCCAAAGTCAATGCACTGCAACCTTTCACTGGCTCAAATCCCACCAAATTGTCAACTGGATTGTAAGTACATGAGTATGGGAGACTTATATAGACTGTGGAATGTAATAATACCAAATCTGGAAATGATGAGGGATAGAACAATTGAACATAAAACAAAATAAGTAAATACTAAACTGGGAATTTGGGATGGGATGGAATGGAAGCAGAGAACAAACTAGATAGGTCATTAGACCATAATGAGTGTGGGGTTC